TATATATATATTTTTTTTTTTTCTGTTTTTGGAGAGGTTTTTGCTATAAGGCGCATGCGCTCGTCAGAAAGACAGAAAGAGACAGAGAGACAGAAAGCAAGAAATCACCCCCAAGGGAGGATGGCCACGCCGCAATCCCTTCTCCTCCTGGAGTGAGTTTAAGCCACCGGGTCTGGGACTCGAACCGTGGTCGACTACATGGGAGTCTGGCAACATAGCCTTTACGTTAACTGCTGGTCCCTCCTTAATAATTCTTAATAACTATTTTGTATTCCCTTCAGAATATTCTATTATTAATATATTTATATTTTCATGCTATAGTGTGAAATACTTCATCAGAAGTGAATCAAATGTACCTTTTCATACAAATATTAAATGATAAAACAATAAACAAAGGCACTAGCATTGCCAAGAATGTGCTAGCTTCCTCTTTGGAAATGCTTACAGGGCCCTTAGCATTATATTTTGAAAGTCTGCTAGGATGCTAAAATGTCTTTTTTTTCACGATAGGTTTAATGTTTTAGAAATGGTCAAAAGGCCCACTCTTATATATTGGGTTGTTGGGAAAGTCATGATGCTTTTTTTGTGCAAAAACATAGAGTGAGTGAGGGAAAAGAGTCTGATGAATGACATTAAGGAGAAGAATAGAGAGGCAAGGCATTATGGGACTGAGAAATGGGTTATTATCTGTTGAAGATAATGTATATAGTATTCTCAGCTGGACTGCTAAGAAATGTATACATGATGGAATATTCACTTTGCACGCTAAGTGACATATGTGATTGAATATATAAAATAAAGAGAAATAAAAAATATAAAAAACATAAGAGGACCAGCAGATGGTGTAGTGATTACATTGTTGGATTCTCACATGGCTGACCACGGTTCTAACCTCAGACCCAGTGGCTTGAAAGTCATGCCAGGCACGTGTGCCTGGATGTGCAAGATCCCAGGAGGAAAATGGAGGAGAAGGGATTGTAGTGTGGCCATCCTTTGTGGGGTGATTTCTCACTTTCCCTCTCACTGTCTCTTGTCTCTCTCTCTTGTGAGGGCATGTGCCCTATAGAAAAAAAACTCTGAAAAAAGAAAGAAAATAGAAAAATATGTCATGACTTTCCTGACAACCTAATATGAATAAAGTATGTTGGTTTCAGTCAAACATCAACAGAGCCCATAAAAGAACATAACTGGCATTTCTATATAACCGAAAGACTAATTCTCAAAAGAATTCCAAAGGATATATTCTAAAACTTTTATAATTTCAATGCATTAACATAATAGGAATATTGTTTATTGATCCATGAGCAGCTTTGAAAACATATTTATTTGGAAATTTAAATTTTATGGTATGTTGATTAAGAAAATGAGTGATCTGAGCCAGCAGATGGCATGAAGGTTAAGATTCTGGATCCCACTGGTTCACGTCCCAGACCTCGCAGCTTGAAAATCATTCCGGGCATGTGTGCACACATGTCCAGAATCCCGAGAAGAGATTAGAGGAGAAGGGATTGCCATGTGGTCATCTCTCCCTGGGGGTGATTTCTTATGTTCCCTCTATCTCCTGTGTCTTTCTCTGGCAAGTGAAAGCACCCTATAGCACAAACAAACAAACAAAAAAAGATGGTCTTCTAGACAGAGTGCACAAACTGGCAATCATAGTATTGGGCTCCATTCTTGTCTCACAGGAAGTTCATGATATTCTTTGGAGTTTTCCACAGATCTCAGTAGGTACTTCATATTCTATGTGTACACTTTAAAATGCTTGGAATGTGTAAGGTTATGAAGTGTTTATGGATAAACATTGAATTCCAAGTAAATATTACTTTTTATAAGTGGTTCTCTATATGTTTTTACTCAAAATAACTTTATTTTCAAAAAGTGAGACATAATGTAATGAATTGTATAATGAATGTAATATTTGAAATCAGATCTTTCTTTTTTTTTTTTTTTTTTTGCTACAGGGCACATGCATTCGCCAGAAAGACAAAGAGAGACAGAGGTAGAAAGCAAGAAATCACCCCGTGGGGGCGGGGGTTGGGAATGCCACAATCCCTTCTCCTCCATTCTCCTCTTGGGATCTTGGGCACGCATGCACATGCGCCTGCCGTGAGTTTAAGCCACCGCATCCAGTACTCGAACTGCAGTTGGCTACATGGGAGTTTAGCAACATAGCCATTATGCTAACTGCTGGTCCCAGATCTTTCAATATCTAAGGGAGACCCCTGATACATTGAGGTGGTAGTTTAGTGTATCCCACTTTAGGCTTTATTGTGCCCAAAGAGTGATATTCTAAGTATTCTCTGTATGTCATAGACTTTTTTTTTTTTTTTTTTTTTTTTACTGGTTTTAGACACAGATATCACTACTTATTGATGCATGAAGAAGGCAACAAAATATTAGGGAGATCTGTACAATTTTACTAGAAAAACTAAGTTTACTATGGGCTGATGTTGAAAAAAGCTACTGTAGCACTCTAAGAGAATGTGGGCTTTTCCCCCCTCTTTATATCATCCACAAAGATGCTACTCTTTAATGCTAGTTTCTATCAGGGAATTTTTTTAAATGGGTTGGTCATGGGGGAAGATGGATTTTTTTGTTTCAATGATATTGAGTGGCAGCTAACAGGCTTAATGTTTAAATGGGGAATTTCTTTAAGCAATGATGAAAGGTTATAATTCTTCATTTAAGATTGCACAGTGTCTCACTTGTGAAGCTTCCACAGACTAATCCTACTAAAAATAGCTTCCTGTCTATCTCTAAATATTTGTGTAATATATATTTGTTGATTCATTTTTAAGAGAATTATTTTATTTAACTTTATTTACGTTTTTTAAAAATTTTGACCAGAGTGAGGGAGAGAAAGTGAGAAAGCAAGCCACCAGGTCTGGGACTCGAACCGCAGTCAGCCATGTGAAAGTCCAGCACCCTTAACCACCATGCTACTTGTTGGCCTATATTTGTTGACCCATTTAAAGCTGTTAAAATTAAGTGTTGTTAAGGGAGATTGTATAGACATTGTTGACAAAAGCATAACAATATTCTATAGAAGTGGTTTTTTTTTCTCTTTTTTGTTTTTGATTTTTTTACCATAGGGCATGTGTGCTCTCCAGAGAGACACAGACGGACAGAAAAAGTGATAAATCACCCCCAGGAGAGATCACAATGCCACAATCCCTTCTCCTCTGGGGATTTTGGTCACACATGCACATATACCCAGTGTGATTTTCAGGCTGCTGGGTCTGGGACTCTAACTGCCCGGTCAGCCCTGTGGAATCTAGTTTTAACCACTATGCCACTAACTAGCCCTAGAATTGGTGTTTTAAAGTCAGCTTTTCTCCATGTTTTTCACTGGCAGTATCTTGAGGAAGTCAGAATATCCCATTTTCTCTAGCTTATCAAATGTGTTACCTCCTGTACAACCTTTTTCTGCCCCTGCTTTCTAATCATTGCAATTTCTTAAAGGGATATTTAGAGGATAACACTGATTTGTTATATTTCAAGTACTTATTTTTAAATTCCATAGGATATCCTGTCATACCCAAGTACTATTATGTGCCAGCTGACTTTGTAGAGTGTGAAAAAAGAAACCCAGGTAGTCAAAAGCGATATCCTAGCAACTGTGGCCGTGATGGAAAACTATTTCTTTGGGGACAAGCACTTTATATCATCGCAAAACTCCTGGGTAAGTGGAGAAGGTTGGGAACTTTTTTTTTATTGTTACCATGATATAAGTACAATGTCTTTGCTGACTTTTTTCTTGGATGTGAGTGGTATTTCATGCTGTTAAGAGGTCTTTGGGGAGTTTCTTAGTATGCGAAGGTATATTAATGTATCTATTGCCCTGAATGATGATGGACAGTTTCTGGGAAGAAAGTCAAATAGGTATGGGTACCATTATGATCATTTAGGATGCGCATTCAGCTTAGTAAATAGGTTTCTAGCAGAAAACTATAGGAACTCTGAGTTACTTTTATAAGTAAATGATGTAATAACAATTCTGATTTAATATAAAAGTCATGCTTGATCATAGCTTTAGTAAATCACTTGTCTGAAGAAATCGATCATCTCAAAGTTCTCTTCATTCCAATAAATACATATTGGCAACTTTCTCAGTTAGCAAAGGCTTAATGGGACCATTATTCCAAGTTCTCTGAAGCATTGTTTTTCAGCTTCTACAACTTCAGCAGTACAACATCAGTACTCTTAGACACTTTAAAATGAAGGCAAATTTGATAAGCACAAAAAGAGCATTAAACATCTACTTGCACTAGTCTTTGTTAAAATTTCAAATATTTTTGGCATTTTCATCAAAAGAGCTATCATTTTATAGTCAATTCATTTATAACAAATAGATGGTAAAACAGACTAATTGTAAATACCATACCTACCCTAAAGAACTGCTTAATGTGTAAAATACTGTTATTGTCTTTGTTGTTTCTAGCATTATTCCATAAATGCTAAATTTGTTTGTGCTGTAAGAATAATCATTTTTGATTCTTTTTTTTTTTTTTTACATTCCATTAGGGAAGAATATTTCAAAGGCCAGATTTCCAATCTGAGCTTACACAAATGATGTGTAAGAGCTGACAGAAACTAACCAAAGAGAAAATTAAGTTAATGCTGTTTTCAGTTTGCTCCTTTCCTAACTGCATTCTGAGTCTCTATATATACTTAATGCTAATTTAAGAACATACAGAAAAATTTTCTTTCTTTAAAGGGACAGGCTTTTGACAAGAACTTTATATTATTTATATAGGCTTTACTCTTAGATTATGTATAAATGCAAGCGAATACACACGACATAGTTTCTTAGAATCAAGCCAAGTTGGAAAGGTTATCTCTGGTTAATATGTTAATTCCATCTCACTAGCACAAATACAAAGCAGCTTTGTGGATACTCACTGCTAAGTAAAACAAATTTTAGCAGAAGTGTACTTAACCTATGTAAGGATAAGAATTTTTAAGATAAATTCTTAAGATTCTATATGTTATGCTTGGAAATTATAAATGAACATGCTGACATTTTTCTGTGATTCTGAGGCTAAAAACTGACAACTGGGATCTGAGATTTTTCCTGCTCTAATATTTATAGATCCAGTTTTGTGTTGGTGCAACTAGAAAGAATGCTGTTTGAGCAAAGCCTCTGGATAAAATCAACAAGGCTAATGATTTGGGAATGCAAAATTAACTATATCCTACCTACATAAACAAATTGTGCTTTAAAAGAAGAAAAAGATCAAGAACAGAATCAATCAGTAAAAAGCATTAGACCACCCATACTCTGAAAGAAATGTGTTGAATATAGGTCTTGAATGTAGACTGTATTTTCTCATGTTAAGACTAGAATGATTAGAAATAGTACAGGTCATACCTCCATTTCTGTTTTATGACCGAAAAGGAGAATACTGCCAGAATGCCTTTAAAGAGTCAATTTCTGTTTTCTTTGTTGAGTTTGTAGGTAGGAGTAGAGAACACACAAAGTGTGTTGCATACTGTGAAACCACATGTTTATCTCCTGCTAAGAAAAAGAGATGTTGCATATTCAGTAGCACTTTGGCCTACATCTGTATCATCTGGTTAACAACTCACTGGCTAAGATGAGTAAGATCTCAGATGATTGAATTATTTAGTTGTGTTGTTGTGTTCTTGCCTGCAAGAACCAATAAACTTCTATGAATTTTCATTAAGATTCCAGATACATCGTTTACTAACAAAGTCTTGGTATTCATTAGAGAATATCTGCTTGACAACATTTTGTGGGCAGTTAATTGGAGTTATTTTTACATGAAAAGAATAGAATAGTGAATATTTTAAAATATTCTGTAATATATTACTTTCATTAATTCAAGCCAGTTTGTATCCCATTGGAATCTAATAAAAATATTTTGCTTTTATATGCCTAAGTGAATAATTGGACAATAGAATTATGTGACTTCTATTCCATTTTCATAAAGAAAGGATATAGGGACCAGCAGGTGACATAGTGATTAAGGTGCTGGACTCCTATATGGTCGACAGGGGTTCAAATCCTAGACACAGCAGCTTGAAAATCATGTTGAGCATGTAGACATGTAGGGCCACAATCCCAGGAGGAGAATGATGGAGAAGGGATTATAGCATTGCAATCCCCTCTGGGGAGTGATTTCTCACTTTCCTTCTTTGTCTTTCTCTGGTGGTCTCATGCTCCCTATGGCAAAAACCTAAAAGAGAAAAAAAAAAGAAAAAAAGAAAAGATATGTTGTTTTGTTAATCAAGACCACTGCATTGTTAGAAAAAAGTTAATTACTTACTGTATTTCCTTTTTTCTTTTAAAAGCTTAGAGTTTTAGAAAAACAATGCTTGCTATGTAAAAGGTGAATTAATTATAAGACATGCTTATTTTAAACCATGTAAGATGTATTTTAAGATATAATATCTGACTTACTTGAAATGATCATTAGTTTATCATCAACTGTTATTTAAATTTGGAAGATTAGAAACTGTTAATGTAAGATAAGTCTATAGGAAATAGCATAACTTTTGAACTCTTTGAAAAATAACCTTAAAAGTATTCATAATAGGGACCAGCAGGTGGCATGGTGGTTAAGGCTCTTGATGCTCCCACATGGCTGACCATGGTTCAAATCCTGGACCTTGTGGCTTGCTTTCTCACCTTATCTCCCTCTCTCTGTCTGTGTGTGTCTCTCTGGTCAAATTAAAAATGAATTAATGAATAAATAAAGTTAAATAAATAATTAAAAAAAACAAAATGTATTCATCACAAAGGCCAGCAGATGGCATGGTGGTTAAGGTGCTGTGGACTCCCACATGGGTGACAGTGGTTTGAATTCTGGGCCTGGTGGCTTACTTTCTGACTTTCCATCTCTCTGTCTCTCTGTGGTGAGCACATGTGCCATATAGAAAACTTAATAATAATAATTAATAATGAATAAATTTTTAAAAGTATTAATCATATTAAAATCACTTGAAATTTTAAGGCCAGCAGGTGGCATGAGTTAAGACTCTGGACTCCCACATGGAGAAGGGATTGCAAAGTGGCTATTCCCCCATGACCCCAACCCTAAATATATTAGTAAAACTGAACATGAAAGCAGTAACGCCTCATGTCTGAGAAAGCTCTTCATACACAGGGTCACGTTGTTTCCTAGAAATACTACTGATACCTTCCTTAAATTGTGCAGATTTTGTGCTCTGCCTTTTACAAATAATATTCTGAGTAATCCTCCTGACTTTCCCCGGAGATGGGTACTATGCAGCATAGGTGAGGAAATGACAGCCCAGAAGTGTTTAACAGCTCACCCAAGGTCACATAGCTCATGAAAGATTGAGTTTATTGGTTTATTCAGGAGTCTACAGGGTATTTTCATCACCTGTAGCATACATGGCATTAAGATTCTTATTATAAACAAAAACTTTGCTAGCCAAATAAGATCATTTTTTTAAATAATTATTTTATTTTATTCATCATCATTATTATTATTATTTTAATTTGATCACAGAGCAACAGTGGGGGAAAAGGAGAAAGCAAGCTGCCAAGTCTATGACTCGAAACATGGTTGCCGTACCATATGGGAGTCCAGTGCCCTAACCATTATGCAACCTGCCATTCCCACAACCTGATAAGATCTTAAATTGCATTTTGATTTTGCTTACATGCTGACAGTTAAAAACACATTCCTTGGTCATTGTCTTGTGGATTGTCTAATAATTTGCTTTGCCCATTTAACCTTGGTTTTATGGGTTTTCTTATCAGGCTATATGAATGTTTATATAATAAATGAATAAAACCTCCTTGATATTTTCTTAATTTGTTTACCTCTAAATTTTGCTTGTGTTATTAACATTTTTTAAAATTTACTTTAAGGTGCATATGCTCTTGAGAGAAAGAGAGAGAGAGAGAGAGAGACAAAGTGAGAAAGCATCCCCCAAGAAGGATGGCCATGCCACAATCCTTTCTCCTCCATTCTCTCCTTGCGATTCTGAGCACACATGTACACGATCCTGGCATATTTTTCATGCTGTCACTCCAGGACTTGAATTGTGCAGTCAGCCATGTGGGATTCAGCTGCCTTAACTACCATACCACTGGCTGAACCGGCTTATGCTCTTTAGTTTTTGATGAATGAAATTTTAAATCATTAAATAGTCAGATCTTTCAGGGGTTTTCTGTTCAATTTTCGCCATAGAATTTAACATTGAATCTTACAAAGACAATTTCTGTTAGTCAGTTAAGTAAAAAAAAGATTTATAAAAATTTGGAATTTTATTGGTATAATGTATGAGGTTGGAGATTGACATTTTATTTTTCTCCAAATAGCTCATTTCATAACATGTATGTTACTGATTTGTGCCTCTGCAGCTGAGAATTAGTAAGACTTTAAAGCATATAATTTTACCCTGTAAATGATCTGATGAGCCTGTTTTAATATGCCCTGTGTAATTTTGGTGTCATGTCCAAAAAAATATTACTTACTCTGTTAAATTTTTTTTCAATTGTCATTTCATTAAAAAAAAATTCTTACTGTTCACTTATTATTCTTGACAATATTGTTTGAGGTAAACCCAGGATATATTTCATAAACCTTTGTGTGCATAAAAAATGTAAATATTAATGAACATAATCCCTATTTTCTAAGGATTTAAAGATAGCTATTTTTATTTCCAGGAATACTTGATTAACTT